CTCGCCAGAAACGATGCACCCTCTAACGTCGATTAAAAGACCGTTTCTATCCACAATGAGTTGTTGCCGTATACATCGGGTCTAACCCTTACTTTTTACGCGAAACAAAATCTAATGGATTGGTGTAAAAATAAACAATAACCAGCTGATACTAATCTCAAACCGAATACAATCCTTGCAACCTAGGGTCATTATTCATTACGGAAAAATGCGTTTTCATTGGTTGATCGTTAAGATCCTCGTACAAACTTTTAGCTCTTAACCAATTAAAAGGCTGCATTCTTAAATAGTTTCGAGGGGATGGATGGCCGAATGGTTAGCACGTGCGCGCTGTATAATAAGGTCTGTCATTGAATCAAATGGCATGGTTTCGATTCCCTGGTTGTACGTGACAAGGAGTAGGGTCGCCTTTCTAACCTCGTGGGTTTTCTCCGGGTACTCCGGTTTCCTCCCACTGCTAAAGACCCCTATGCGCAAGCGAATTATTGAAGTAAAATTGAACCATGTGTTAGTCCCCAAATGACCTAGTTTGTGTCTAGCGGACATTAATCCCCATCTCTGTCTGTCTCGCTCTCTCTCTCTCTCTCTCTCTCTCTAGCAAGAAGAAATTATACACCAACTGCAATAAACAAGAATACCATACAGATATTATATTATAGGCATGAATGAAACTAAACGAACACACCTTGATGTTTTCATATTGGATATCTCAATAGCAGACTCATGTTTATCAACATCGTTCTGCAAGAAATAGCATAGATGTCTTAATTCTTTCTTTTAACTGTAGCGTCTTTTTATTAAATAATTCTTTAACGTCCATAAAAAAAAAAAATATTTAAAAATACTATCGCAATTTATCAACGTTGTTACACTGGCTATTCCCATTAGCTTTACTATGTTTATCAACATCGTTCGAAGAGAAATGATTTAGATGTGTTAATTCTTGTTAAATTCCAAAAATCGAGCTATTTGTCTTTTCATTCAAAGTTTACTATATGTAGTATCATAATGACGTTCTTGACCATCATTGTCATCTTCGCTCGGCATTCACAATCTTCACTGCCACCCACAACGCCGATAAAGATAACAGCATTAATCATCTGAAAAGCCATTCATTGTAGTCGAAGTTTATTGCTCCAAGTGGCCGTTTCTATACGTTTAGATTGCGAAACATGTGTATTGCTATAGGTCATTTATGATTTATAATTGTCGAAAACGCAGTCAAATTGTTAAAATTGTTGATTATATAATATTTTGTTCTAAGAAACCATTAGCCATTCCAGCAGATAGTACTACACCCGACCTTACCCGCACATGTGCTCAAATGAAGTTTCAGTTGTTACAACCATGCTTCATATCCAGGCATGTATTTCCCTTGTCAGTGGTTCAGGGCAACTGTCTTGTCGTTTGGATGGTCTAAAAAGCCGAGGTCGCGTGTACACATTAGCGTGCACGTAAAAGAACCTTTGACAATTGGGATTCGATATAAGAGTAAACGCTTTTTCATTTCATTTCATGCTTCATATCCATGTGTTTTATTCCATTTTGAACACGTTTTAGTTGTTTGTCTATTGCAGACTTTGGATTGGCCTAATCCGACAGGACAGGTTTGATTGCAATCGATCATACAAATTTAACAAGATGCACTGGGTGAATCAGAATCGACGGATAATTTAGTACATTTTCAGATGTTGAGATGTTAACGTAACCTTCTAGGTGGAATCTGTAAATTTAATCAATGCCGATAAGTAAAATACGAAAGTCAGTTAGCTACGCGAATCCTTTCAAATACAGAAAACAATGGGGTTTAACGATCACTCTACACAAACGTGCTTATTTCGGAACTAAGATATGATGCATTCTTTTATTTTCAATAGTTCACACTCGCGCATGTGGGAAACTACAAGATCTCGGAAGCGACCCACGCCTTGTAAGATTCAATTGTTGGGTCGGATCCACGATTCTCAGAACAATGAAAGACCTAAGGTCTAAAGGTCATGTGTTAGACAACCGCTTTACCACCCAACACATCAAGATTCTCCATAACATATGGGTCGTGTTTGAAAAGAGATAAATGGTGATTTCCTAAATTGTAAAGTGGTTTCGGATATTCTAGAAACAAAAAAACATAGCCTGCCTCATAAGACTCGCCCAATTATATAAATATGAAAGTACAATGAACTTTCACGTGTTGGTGCATGACCATTTGGAATAGGTAGCCGAAAAGAAGAGAAAGAAAAACCAAAGAACGCATTAACGTTCCAGCTATCACGATAGCTTGTCACTCCTGTTGGCCTCTTCTGACTTGGTAATGGGGGGGGGGGGTGGATGGCTGAATGGTTAGCGTGCGCGCGCTGTATCATAAAGTCTGTCATTGAGTCGACTGGCGTGGTTTCGAATCCCCGGTTGTACGTGACAAGGAGTAGGGGCGCCTGTCCAACCTCGTGGGTTTTCTCCGGGTCCTCCGGTTTCCTCCCACTGCTAAAGACCCCTATGCGTAAGCGAATTATTGAAATAAAATTAAACCATATGTTAGTCCCGAAATGACCTAGTTTGTGTCGAGTGGACGTTAAACCCCATTTCTCTCTCTCTCTCTCTCTCTGACTTGGTAATGACAGTCCCACGACGAATTGGAATTCCTAAGTAACATTAATAATAAATATCTTTCTTCTTCAACATCAAATAAAACAATATATTCATTAACGGCGTTCTATTTCTGGACTATTCTGAAGCGATAGCATTTTTTCAGACTATCCTAGAATACGAGACATTGTTGTTCGTCCCTAATAGAAATACTAACTAATTAATAAAGTTGGATATATACTTAAAACATCATTGGGTGTGACAATACCTTACTTACAAATTAATTATAGTTCATACTTAAAACTATTTGTTCAGCATTCCAAGTCATTTTGATGAAGAGAGGAGTGGAATTGTTAAAAACAAAACCTGCCAACGCAATATTTTTAGACCTAGGCTATGGGTGTGTAGGTGTGGTTGAGTATGTGGGCTGAAGATGTGTGGGTGGGTGGCGCGAGGGATTTAACGTGGACTCAACACTATTTTTCAAATATGCATGTTTGTTAAGTAAAAAGGAGACGTTGAAATATTACGTGCAAATCAACGTCTTCCCATGTGACCGATTACACGTGTTTCCTTGTCAGAGCACCCGTCCTGCACAAGGGGAAACCACACCACAGACGCATCCTCCATACCCGGACACAACCTGGATAGAAACCACACCCCATGGTTAGTGAGTCACCGCCATATCAATGAGCCACCAAGCATCAAGGTACCCCGTACCCTGCTAGTATCTAAGATCGGGACGCATGCTTACCTCTCCGCACAGTCTATTATCTCCCGAGGGAGATGGGTGGTAGAATCTAGCTGCAGTCAGCCATTTTAGCGATCAAACGACGTATTAAAGAGGCATTATCCAAGAACTAAATCTACCCACTGCATGTGTTTCTTTTGGCGTTATATGTTGTATAAATTATAAATTAGACATTTATTAACATAACAAGACCCAACCAGCTCTCAATGCCATCGGATGGCTCCGATTTTAAAAAGATTAGAACGGTTCGGGCATTTAATGATTTAATTTAGAAATGGATCAGTCTCGAATAACCAGCACCATGGTTACGATAATAAACAATCGATGCACACATCTGGTCAAAGCTAAAAACATTGATAACTTCGCTCAGAATAAAGTAATTTGAATGAAATTTCCAATGTATTCATTTTGTATTATCTATTTTTGAACTATTATAGCAAGAAGTGTGTGTGATGGGGGGGGGGGGGCTAATTTTACCCGGACATTGGTATCCAGATATTGTTGTACACGGGAACGACTATATTTAAAGAATCTTCTCCGAAGAGATTCAAGCCTCGCACATACCAATTCTAACCAAATTATCTAACTACAAGACTAGCTCGGCTACCTTATTTCCAATACCTAATTAATATTCCGAGCAAAATAGTCATATTAGATTTAATGTAACATGGACGTGCGTCTGTATGGAACTCGAATTATAGTTTATAACAATAAAATATGTAAACATTATATTTACCAGTGATAAAAACTGTATTCATTAACTAACTGATATTGTACGTTGTCTGCGATATCACTACTTGTGTGGGAAGACCTTAAGCCAACAACTACTGCTACTAATGCTATTTTATTTCTATCCTAATATCGTTATTACTAATGAATCTCTAAAGAGAGAGAGAGAGAGAGAGAGAGAGAGGGAGAGAGAGAGAGAGAGAGGGGAGGTTTAACGTCCACTCAACACAAACTTGATCATTTCGGGACTACGCTCAATTTTATTTCAATAATTCGCTTGCGCGTAGGGGTATTTAGCAGTGTGAGGAAACCGGAGGGACCCGGAGAAAACCCACGAAGTTGGACAGGCGACCTTACTCCTTGTCACGTGCAACGGGCGAATCGAAACCACGAGAGAACTTATGATACAGCGTGCACGTGCTAACCATTCCACCATCCACCCCACCCCCCTCCTCCGACTCTCTCTGTCGAGATTGGTTCGAATTTGTACCACCGTTGACGCTGCAAAGCCTTGAAATGTGGTCAGATCGAAAATAAAACCGTTTTGGTGTTAATGGACAAACTTGTCTTTAGTCGCTGATGATACATTTGTGTTTAAAACGAGTGTAGTTATTTAAAGAATTTTAAACACAAATGTATCATCAGCGACTAAAGACAGGTTTGTCCAAATCGCTGGGATTCATATTTCGGCTAAGAGCGGCAACGTGGAAGAAATCATCAAAATGTTAAGGAGCGGGAGAAACGCGGTTAAATATAGATTGATGATTCTATCATTAGTAACAAACCGTTTCATTAACTACATAAATATCCCAACGATTACATAGTAATGGCACCAAGAAAATAAACAGGAATGACTGAGACAGTGTAATCATTGGCGAACTTGTATATAGGGGAGGAGTTGGCACGGCGAGACGATTTTTATCACTGGACGGGCATTGGTTTAAAAGCAGACTAAACCAGTCCACTTATTCACATCGGTAATAGATGAATGAAAAGTTTTTCGTTTCTTTAAAACCTGTTTTCCATATAAAGACATCGCTACGTGAAAAGTCCCGCCTCTATCAATGTAGGACTTGTCAGTCGAGTTGTATGAATAATATCAAGAGCGTTTTGCTAGTGAACACTTCAAGCGAGGCATTATTGTAATAGCGAGACAACTCAAATTCACACAAAATCTAACCAGTTGTCGCATTGAACACACACTGAATAACAGGTTGATTTAGCAGACTAAACGTAAGGACGTTCAACGTTTAAGTTCTAAGCAACACGAGGGACACTGACTATTGGATTATTATTGAGCGATTTTTAAAACTGTATTTTAATAGCAGATAACAGAAATGGAGTTTAAGAGTTTGTTTTTAGTGATTGCTTTATTTCCACTGGTAAGTATATTATATAACTTAATTAGAATTCCTTTGGATGTTAATACAATACTGGCAACTTTCATTTCAATGAGACTGTGTGTAATACGAAGGGAATAATTTAACCGGGAACCGGCGTTTTCTCTTACTCGTCTTCGAATTCCATCTGACCGGGCGTCGTTTACGTGCGCACCAGTATGTACACTTGTGGACCTCGGTTTCTCGTATCTTCCCACACACTAAACACACTTTGAATGTAAGCCTCAAAGGCGCAATTCTTGGTAATTGGGAACCAGATTTGAACAACCTCGAGGGTTTTCTCGGTTCCCGTCTGGATTTGAACTCCGGACACTCTAATGCCCCGTTGTTTGCCCACTTCAGCTTTGTGTGTTGTTATTGACAAACTAAATGCTGTACGAAATAATGGTTATGGAAGTTGCTCAACAGTCCTGGGAAACCCCATAATCTTTGGCACTACAAGAAGTCCGCATCAGTCTCGAAAATAATCCTTGTAGAGTTTTTAACGAGACGGTGATCTTTATGAATTGCCTAATGACAGCATGCCGACTTTTACGCAGGTCGTGACTCAGTGAGTATAAATTGATCAATCCAAATGATTCAATTCCGTTTAGTATTTACAAAGAAATAATCTTCGCTAAAATCTTGTAAATCTGAATGATTCCAAGCCGGGAAAATCAACCGTTGATATTTTGATTTTTTTGCAGTCAAATGTTAAATAATCAAATTGGGCGTATTTAAGCGTGCATCTGGTTAGTTGTCGGTTTATATTTACAATGAATATTAATAGCAGTTCATCGTTTGATTCATATTTTTGCATTTACTGCTACTTGGTGTATATTGACACGATCTTTATAGTATGCGTGTTTTCATGATTTGTTGAGCTGTTCGTCTTATTCAAAACAGTTAACATTCAAACGGTATTTAAAAAAAATTGCTGGGATCATAATAGTTCCTTAACCTTAAGGTAGTCCTTTTGAATTTGACCCAGTTTTGGGTTAGAATTGAGGGAATTATCATGACAATTGAGGTTTGAAGATAGTTATATCCTCTGTGTAGAGTCTTATATTGTACTACATGAATATATTATCCATTATTTACACTACCGCCTGTAATAACATTTCTATTCACACTTAATTCGCTCTTTATTGCACTGTTCACTTTAAAAAAATATCTTAAGAGATGTTATTTTTATGTCGAAGGTGGCTTTGCTCGAATATTCTCATTATGTCATTTTAGTTGACGGGAGACGTCTGTCTACTTGTAACCTGTTTGAAGAATAAACCCATTTTATCATTTCTTTATTTGCCGCAATTTTCACTTCAAAAACATCTTAAGATATGTTGTTTTTCTGTCGAAGGTGTCTTTACCCGAATATTCTGATCACGTCATTTCGAATTATAAGCAAGACATCCACTCGCTTGCAGATTAAATCTGTTTGATCAATTTATTTATGAATTGTATTTAAATCGAATTGTGTGGGTGTTTCGAAGTATACTACGATTTCTCGCCACAGCATTAAAGCACCTATATTTTCTCTAAATTGAAATCCTATGCGTATTTTATACTTGATGTGATATTGCGCTGTGCTTCTGTCTATCGCTTACTGTAATGTATTTCTGAATCAGCGTATTTTGACAATTATCATGCTTCATTTAACATTATACACTATTCAGCATTAGTATGACCGTGTGAATTTATTGATAGGCGAACAGAAATTACAACATTCGAATTATAATCTGAATAAAGGTGGTCCCACATTTTTTCATTGGGTGTTAAAAAATATTATCTGGTAGCTCCGCGGTTGACGATTAACGCTTAGTTACCTTGCATTATGAAATCAATTTTCGGCCTATTACATATAGCTGTAAGTATTGACAGATGTGGTACATAGTACAGACTATGTCTAGCCTTTATTGAACACCTGATACCACATCTAATTCATTTGTTCCCACCCATATTTTATAAAACGTACTACTAAAGTACTAAGTATTAAGTACGGGGTTATACGTTGGGTTAATAGTTCGTATAATTTGTCTCAGCCTTATGCACATGTATGTCTGGTTAGCCCCCCACCCCACCCAGTCCACTTTCATTTAGAATTAGACACGTTCTATTTTAATATAGGGGCAAAATCACAACAGGTCTTTTTTATAATCAAATTGATTCGTGTAGCGAATCGACGTGTATTATTAATGTCGTTAGTCAATTTTATTAACCCTGAATTATATATCCATTAGACCAGTCGACTTCAAATAAACAAGGACAGTGTCTAGTCGTTTGGATGGGACCAAAAATCGAGGCCCCGTGTACACATAATTGTGCACGCAAAATAACCCTTAATAGTTGGAAGTCAAAATAAGAACAGGCCGTAGCGCCGCTGTCCGAGCAAAATACCCTCGTAGCACACTGTATGGCGTAAGCCCGTCTTCATTAGCCCAGTCGATGCAGAAAAGTAGGCCATTAAACTCTATTTTATTTCATTTCAAATCATCAAAAGCTGTATTAAACCGTGACAATTGTTTTTGTGAAGACAGTTTGTCTCAAATGTATGTAAATGGCGAATGAACTTTTACCATTAAAATAAAATATTCGCCCCGGCGGGTTGTTAAACACTTATGATTTATGACAATACTTTATTTACTTAGAGCTCAGATGTAGGTGATCGTACGCTTAAAATACTTTACATAATTTTGCAGCCACTTAACATTATATTATATGGTTCTCCCGAAGTCACGCCATGATAAAATATAATCTGGGATTATGAAATTAATATTTAGGACTTGCTATTCTGGAATGTCTATGTCTTTGTCGGCCCTGTTTAAGTTCTTTTCGCCGATCTAATATCAGAATTAACTCGACTGGCAAATGCAGTGTATATATAGCCTAAGTTGGTAATTGGTATGGAGGGGGCGGGGTAGGGTGTGTAAGAAACCGTCTACCCTTAAAAATTGGGGTTTGTACAAACTGGAAGACTTTTTGCTTGTCTTAATTAAAAGGGAATGTTCCTTTAATTTTATTTTATTTATGCTGCAGACCACACTAGCTGTAAAGAAGGACATTAAACCACATTACTTAATTCATTCACACCTCGAACTGTTTTGGGGACGGGTACAATATCAGCGACTCAGATACAAATACAAAAACTAGAAATAAAGGAACCTAATCTTTTTAACGACATGTTTTATAGATTATAGTTATAGAACTACAACTTAACTGATATTTCGTTAATAAAGACGTACTTAAAGTAGCTAAGTCTCTAACCCAATATCATCCAAAGTCTTCGACATTGAAAACACGTATTATTTGTCAATTTAAACCAACATTGATATTGTAATCTTACTGGGAAAAGATGGACTTCTGATATCCAATATTTAAGACAAACTAAATATTTTACCATTGGTACACGAATCGTGTACCATAATGCGTTTCAGCGCCATTTGTAACAAGAGACTCTAAGAACGAGGTTAGACATACTCCAGAAGTCATGTCAAACGGTAACGCCATATTCTTATCTGGAGAGCATGCACAATAAATACTATCGGTGTAGACTGGAATAACCAGACGCTAGAGATTACCATTCGATTGAGAATTCTGACGTATTTCGCCGAACATAACTGATTTGAAATTAGAGTAAAAACAGAAACGATTGAAGGTAAATCATGTTATATACATTCATATTACATTATTATATGCGTTGCGACCCATTTGTGCCAATTTGTAGGTCCCAAATATTAGCGATTTAGCTCCTTTAACTGTTGGTCTATATTCCTTGAGTGGCATTTAACGATTGAGCACATTCAAAAATACAACACAATATACCTAGAAAACAATCACTGGTTTATACACATATAGCACGACGTTTCGACAAATATTCTCTTATCGTTTTAAAGTACAATTAATGATTGTTTTCCGTATCAATTGTGCTGTGTTTTTTAAACTGTTGGTCTCATTCTCGAAATTGTTAAAATCAGACTACTGAAAACGCAAAACCTTTTATTTATCTTTATCCTTTTTTTCCTTTATGCATGGTTGATTTTTGTTAGAATTTTTGAGAAGACTAGAGATATTTGAAGTTGCATTTTCTAACAGGTTTTAGTCAATATTCATGATTTTGATGTGGTAGGATAACATAATTAATTACTTTGACATGTAGAGCGGGTTCCACGGCGAGCCTGATACATGCTTTGCCAGATGTTGATCCATCTGTGGTATAAACCAGCGAGAATTTGGGAATAATTTAGAGGCGGGAAAAGAGTTAACATTTAAATCGATGCGTGATCTATGGCCAGTTGTGAAATGTAATGAAATGGGGTCAGTCGAGATGAACTGCCATGCGCGTTAACCGTATAATTCATAGTGACCGAAACAGGTTAACGTTTAGAAAAGTGTCTTTAATGTGTTAATAATACTTTACTCAGGCTACATATGTAAATATAGGTATTTTACAGTATTAATTTTATTTATCTTTCTCAAGGTGGTAAATCATAAACCATAAAAGTAAGAATAACAACGTTTATCTGATGTTATGATAAATGATATGTTTATATCTCTAAGATAATAAAATAGGTTATACAATTATGATATTTATTTTGATAAATATATCAGATTTAATTGTAATTCTAGTTTCAAAAGAATAAATTATTTTAGGCTGCTAAATATTATGGTTATATATATAACGTATATATAGAGATAAACAAGTAGTCTTTAAATACAATAAGTTTAGTTCTCCATCAGGACGGAGGGCCTGACAAGGACAGCTGTCTGGTCGTTCGGGTGGGACGAAAAACCAAGATCCCGTGTACACATTGGCGTGCACACAAAATATCAGTTGACAGTTGGAATTCGATATAAGAGTAGGCCGTAGTGCCGCTGTCCGGGCAAAATTTCCCTCATAGCACACTGTATGGCGTATGGCCATCTTCATTAGCTCAGTTCGGAGAAGAACAGTATGACGTAAAACCCCTTTTCATTTCATTTCATTTCTCCGTCAGGAACAAATA